TATATATATCATCCCGAAAGGCAGGAAGGGTGTGTGTAAGCTTGTGACCTTGCCTCATTAAATGAAACGTGTTGGAGTAATGCAAAATTGATTGCAGCTGTGTAAGGACTGGAAGAAGATATTGCTGGCGGCGATAACGCCCAACTGGATGAAGATTGATACGAACAAGATATGTAATCGCATATGGGATGGGTATGATCGCGTGAAGAGAGAATGCTGTGAGAAGGGAATCAGCTGGTTGAGTGCGTTACAGGACGACCGACTAAAGAAGTCTCGGCATGCGGTTGAAATGCCCAGCTGGTTGAAAATAGACACGAACAAGATGCGTGATCACATATGGGATGGGTATGATCGCGTGAAGAGAGAATGCTCTGAGAAGGGAAGCAGCTGGTTGAGTGCCTTACAGGACGACCGACTAAAGAAGTCTTTGTCTGCGATCGCATCGCCCGATTGGTTGAAGACTGGCACGGAAAAGATACTTAATTACGCATCGAGTTGGTACGATAGCGCGAAGAGACGTTGGTCTGGGCAGGACCGTCAGCAGTAGTGTTCGTCGGGGAACGCAGTCTCCAAGAAGGATCGGCACTTTTTTACTTTAGGGGGGTCGCACGCGAGCACGCTCACTTACAACGATACACACATACGCTCACACAATATGAACGACGCTTTCATATGGATCGAGGCCACGCCTACAGCGCATGGCCTCAGCCTAAGCGTAGTCTCAGACTAAGCCTAAGCCTGAGCTCGCTTGCTAGCCCCCGCTGTGACATCGAGCGATCTAAGGCTACGCTTAGATGAGGCTGAGGTCACACTTAGGCTGAGGCCATGCGCAGAAGGCGTGGCATCGGTTGTCTTGCGCGAGCGTGCCTGCGTGCGACCCACCCCCCCCCCTCCCCCAAAGTAAAAAAGTGCCCAAGGATCTCGTCCTCCACACTCAAACCTCCACGACTTTTTGCTCGGGGCTCCCCTCCTACTGACGAATACATTTCCGCTGGGAACATGCCGTTCATTCCGCTCCTCCATGAGGCCTCCTACCCACCACTCCAGCCAGAAATTTTCTCCCCGACGGACACTAGTCAATTATCATCCTTCTGTCACTATTGTGTTTTTGGTGGGCCACGATAGGTTACGGTGGCTTTTGGAAAAACGTCTGTTCCGCGAGCAATTTGCCAAAGAATCATGTGGCGGAATCGCCACGCAACTTTCTGAACATTTCTCAAATTATTTCGAAATTTTGTTGCATATTACCGTCGAAACTCGCTGGAATTTTTTTAGTAACGTAGAAATAAGGAGATCAAGGGAGGAACAATGTTATATTGGTGGTAATAGGAATACATAGACTCGTGATGAGTTATTGCAATTGTAATTGCTGATGCTCGAATAATAAAGCTTGAGAAAATTTCATGATGTTACCCTGAAAACGCTACCTCA